TCGCATGATTTCGAAGTATATAGGTATGGGGCTTCCTGGACTTTCACATATACTATTACAGGGGTTTTTAAACACTTGTAACAACACTATAATCTAACAATTCCTTAAATGGGTTTCCTAAACCCTAAATTCACATACAACGTAAAAGCTACAGATTATGATCCGAAGATTACCTGGAAACGTGTTCCCTGTGTCCCCAACCTCCAGTACTCGACTCCTTGGACTTCCTTTGATCACTACCTTGCCTCTCCTTGTCTAACAATCTCTTCAAGCCTCCTCTAGCCCTCACTCTTGCTCCAGATGCCCACAAACTCCCAAAGTATCTTCAATCGGCCAAAAGACGCGACATGACGGCCATAAGATCATTATATACGATTCAGAATTGAAACGGCTAGGGTTCAGCTGAATCAGCGTCGACTCGCCGAGTCCCTATCTGGACTCGTCGAGTCCAGTCGTGTATCTGCGACCAGGACCATGGCCCTACTCGGCGAGTCATGCACCAACTCGCCGAGTCCCCCCCCCCCTAAATGTGCCCCGAAAATAATTTAAAGAAATACCTGAAATTCCGGGCTGTTACAATAACTCTATGGGTCCGTGCACCCAAACTCTGTGAACCCTCAGGTTCTAACTCTGGGAACCTTCCGGTTCCAACTCTATAAACATGCACAACATAAATCACATAGAAATAATGCAGTACAACACATCACGTACATATAGCATACAAATACTCTGATCACATAACTCTGGTTACCTACTCAAGGTAAAGCATAGTGAGAGACTCACCTGGCAAGCAGAAAGCAGATATCCCCACACTTGAATCTCAAACTCGCCACCGCCTAACATGTAAGGCAAATACTCTCATGAATATAACTCTCGAGACTAGAATAAATCCTCTTATAACACCCTCTTATGGGTAAAAGACTATTTTACCTCTCTCTTGGCCCAAAGGCCACATCGCTGACCAAACCCTAAAAGTCAACGGCCGACCCTTGGTCGAAATCAAAGTCCTCAGTCTAAGTCAACCCCTGGCCGACCCTACTCGCCGAGTCAACCCTGTGACTCGTCGAGTTCCCATAATCAGAACTTCACTCAATCTGCTACCTAACTCGCCAAGTCACCCCGAGACTCACCGAGTCCAACAACTCTGAGTCCACTCGCACACGACTCACCGAGTCATCCCTCGACTCACTGATTCTCAACTCAACCAGAGAATATTTGGGACTCTTCGACAAGACTCGTCGAGTCCAAGAACAGACTCGCCGAGTCTATGGCTATCTTCAACCTACTCGCCGAGTTGTTCATACAACTCGCCGAGTTCCAGGCCATCTTCATCCAACTCGTCGAGTCCACCCATGTGACTCGCCGAGTACCACCGATCTGAATACATTCCGAAGCATTCCAGGCCATGCAACTGCTCCAAGACATAGATCTAGTCTCCTACCACTCATCCATCACGTAAAGTGGCAAACTTTACGTGAATCCAAAGAGATCTAAGCCGTTTGCACATTGGGGCTAAGGTTTGGGACATGCAAGCTTCACTAAACACTCCAACACAAGGACTTTCATGCTCTCTGATTCTTCTCCCTTCCAGATATGAAGTAGCAACCTCAGATCTAACCTCTAGACTTCCCATTTCATCCATAGACAATTTATCACAAACCCCAAAATGAAGAAACAACATAACAACAGGTCAAAAACGAGATATTACCTCTAAGTGATGCCCTAACTGCAATGCAATTCGAATCCAAGAAAAGCCCCTTGCTCCAAGCCTTCAATCTTCCCAAAATTCCTTCAACCATTACTTCTCCAAGCTCCAATCCACTCAACAATGGTGCTTCTCCGCGATTTAGGGTTTTCTGGGGCTCAAGGGGTGATAAAGAGGCTGGGAGGAAAACATAGTGATCGTTATATAAGGCTCAACCCCGAGAATTAGGGTTTTCTCCACTCAGCGCCTACTCGCCGAGTCCATTACACTGACTCGCCGAGTCGGCCACTTAACACGCGACCAAGTCGCGACTCTACTCGCCGAGTCCGCACATGGACTCGCCGAGTCACTCTTTTCCCTATTTACTCTTTTAGCCCTTCAACTCTACTCTTGATATTTCGGGATGTTACAATAACAATGAAATGTGGTCAGGATAGGGCTTTATAGTCTAGATCTTACTCATTCATTTTTCTGCTCCGCACACCCACGAATCTCTCAATTTGATCAGCGATTTCGTCGACCCCAATGTCTGCTACGACTCTCCTTCACCGTCGGCCTCGGGTAATGATTTCCTCCATTGTATTTGGTTGTTTTCTGATTTTTCATAGCATTTGTTATTATTGTATTAAGGTGTCTAAGCTCTTAACTAAATTGTTATATTCTTGTAATTAGAAGTAAAGTTATTTTTGGGTTGCCCTTATAACTAGAAATAACTAGAAATGATATTAGGAGATAAGGGAAATGTTTTGTTGATATATTATATGACTAGGTGTGAGATCAATGTATTACATGAGTTTATTTAAAAGAAAACACTAAATATAAAATTCTAAACATTTAAGAAGTTTGAATTTATAAGAAAAATGAGAAAATGTTGAATTATAAAAATTAAACCGTTTTTTAGTCTTTTAAATTTAAACAAATAATTTAGATAAATAAATAAAGGAAACTAATGAAGCTTTAATTTAAATTTTTTGAAATTAGAAGGAAAGTTAATTAAGGAAATTAATATGTATTTATTATTGCATTTAAATACTATTTGGAATTTAATAAAATAGAAAAACCATAAAATGTCATGTGGAATAAAAATTAATTCAAAATAACCGCAAAATAACATTTGGCAAATTGAATGAGAGTGTGACAAGTGGCAAAAAAAATCTTCATTTATTAGAGTAGATTAATTAATATATTAATTGGAAATAGATAACTGATTCGTAGATTTATTATATGATTAATAAATTAATATGACATCAATAATTAAACAATTGATTTGTTACTTTATATGATTAATAAATTATAAGAAATCAATAAGAATTAATTCATTATTAATCGTAATTAATCTACAATTAATTTGGGATTAATTAGAACAATTAAAGGTCCAAGGGTTGAATTGTAATTGTTCATTATTGAGCAAGGAAGGAAAACTCTAGAACCTATATAAGGGTAGACGGTTTTTGCAAAGATTCTAGGATTTCTGGAAGCCTCTTGGTTGTAGGTGAGGGAATGATTTGAACTGGATTAAATTTATTATTTAATCAATTCAAATCTTGCTTTTGTCTGCAAGTCACCCACACTATAAATAAGACCCCAAGACTTGGAATTTTCATTCATGCTCGTCCCAAGAGGCTCATAGGCGAAATTCTTCAACCCTATTCTCTCTCATCTTCATTTTAGAGTTTCTAGTTTTGGGTGTGAGCTATTAGAGGCATCATACTTTTGGTGCTAGCTTCCCAAGATCAAGAAGGACTCAAGGAATTGTTTACAATAACAATTCAAATGTTATGTAACCTTAATTTATGAATTTCGATTATAGATAAGGTTTATGAAAGTTTCAATAGTATGTTGCTATAATGTGTAAAGACTTAGATCCTTAATTAGGTTGCATATACCCTTAATTGTTAAGAGAAATTCCATAAGTACATAGTTTTTTATAACTTATAAAACCCATTAGTGGTATCAAAACTTATGATTCTTTTTATTATAGGTGCCTAATTAAAACTGGAATCAAAACTGATAAAATCGACTTTCTCCTATGGTCACATCTTGGTCAATCCTATGCCACGAAGTGAGAATTGTTTGAAATAGATCTTTTTTTTTCTGCCTTATCCAATTAGTAGGTTGTTAATTAATAATTATCTGCATTGGTTGTATCAAATCCAAATTTCACTTGCCATCTATGATTAAAACCTAATTGATTTGTTAATTTATATGATTAATAAATTAATAAGAAATTAATAAGAATTAATTAACTCTTAATAAGAATTAATCTAGAATTAATTTGGGATTAACCGGAATAAATTAAAGGTCCAAGGTTTGAACTATAATTTTTCATAATTGAGCAAGGAATGAAATTTCTAAAACCTATATTGAGGTAGACGGGTTTTGCAAGGATTCTAGGATTTCTTGAAGCCTCTTGGTTGTAGATAAGGAAATGATTTGAACTGGATTAAATATGTTATTTAATTAATTCAAATCTTGCCTTGTCTGCAACTCACACACACTATAAAAATAGGACCCGGATACTTGGAATTTTCATTCATTCTCGTCCCAAGAGGCTCATAGGTAAAATTCCTCCTCCTTCCTCTCTCCCATCTTCATTCTAGAGTTTCTAGCTTTGGGTATGAGCCATTAGAGGCATCATACTTTTAATGCTAGCTTTCCAAGATCAAGAAGGATTCAAGGAATTATTTACAAGAACAATTCAAATGTTATGTAACCTTAACTTATGAATCTCGATTATAGCCAAGGTTTATAAAAGTTTCAACAGTATGTTGCTTTAATGTGTAAAGACATAGATCATTAATTAGGTTTCATATACCAATAATTGTTAAGAGAATTCCATAAGTACATAGTTTTTTGTAACCTATAAAACCCATTAGTGGTATCGGAGCTTAGGTTTCTTTCTTTATATGTACGTTATTAAAACCGAAATCAAAACTGATAAAATCGACTTTCTGCTATGGTGACGTCATAGACAGTCCTCCTCCATGACGTGAGAATCGTATGAAAACAAGATTTATGGCATACATGATGCATCCAATTGCCAAAGCATATGGAACAACTTTCATCTTGTCCAACTCAGCCTTTGTGCTAGGACATTGGGATGAACTTAGTACTGTGCCAATTACAAAATATGGGAGCTCGGTATGACTCTCCCCTGGTGTCATTTTCCAAACACCTAATTTCTAAAAGATCTTGTATGCTCAAGAGTCATATTAAAATGATATTGCTAATTAACATATGATCCTAAATTCATTTTCCAAACAAATTATTTACATTTAAAAAAACCCAAATATGTATGCCAATTACAAATGTGGAATATAAAGACATTTTGTTTCTTAGGGCCTGTTTGATACACCTCTTATTGGGTCCACTAAGAGGTGAGGTCTGACTCGGTCCGATTCAGCCCGTTTGATAATGATATTTTGAGCTTCTGACCGAGCAAGAAGAGTCCGACCGAATTAGCCAAATACAATCGCTGACTGAATTAATTTCCAAGAAAACCCTCCCTTTCCTAGAACTAACAGGCTTTAAGCGACACCCTCCCTTGAACGACATTCACTTCAGTGATTTCTGCTCCATCGCCGACCTCTACATCGGTGGCTTGTGCCTCGCCGAAATCAACTTCGTTGGATTTTGGCTCTCCAACATCGGTTCTTCAAAGTTCCGATTTCTCCAAGGTTTCTGCTTCTCCTCGCTTCTGATTTCTCCAAGGATTTTGCTTCTCCTCGCTTCTGATTTATGTGGCTTCTGTCATCAAGTTTGTTTGTTTTTGTAGGGCTGGAACCAATAGTGAGTGGGTGGGCAAAAACAGAAAACATCGTAGAATTAACATCCTTAGGGAAAAAATCACAAAGTTGAAGCCTTTGGTGAATTATAGTGAATATTTAACTCAGTAAAAATCAGTGCCCATAGAAATTGTTCAGTTTTAGAATTTCAGTTTTCATGTGATTATGTGTATGTAGTTTGGTTTGTGAATCTATTGGGTATTTATGCAATTATTAGTTGAAAATAGAGACTAGAAATACGAAAAAATTTAATTTTTGAGCTGAAAGTTTTAGCATTTGTATTATGTACATAGAGGACCATTGTGTCTATTGTCAATCTTGATTGCAAGCTAGACCTGAAGGCATTGTTATTATATCTACATCAAAATTAGAAAATCATTTGCATTTATACTGAAAGTTTGAAATTTGCAATAATCTCCAAAGTGGAAAACCGAACTGTTTCTTGTTTCATTATGTAAATAAACTCCAAAATATACAATCTTTTTCCAAAAATATGCATACTTTTATAGCTTAATGATGGTCTTTTTTTGTTCAAGTATAAAAGGGATAATTGTCTTTGTTGGATTGAATGTGATTTTGAGTTCATTAGGCACAAAGGCTGGTCTAATAAGAATGAAGGGTATTTTGGTCTATTTATTCTGTTGTGGCATCTGATCAATAAAAGGAACATGAAAAAAGATTTGAAACATGTGAGAACTAGTTTTTACTTTGAGTTTTGGATAAATAACCATGAAAAATTGATCTTTTGGTCGATGTCAAAAAGCTCGAAAATTTTCAAGAGGAAAGGGTATTTTCGGCAGATGAAATTGAAAATTGCTAGATATGAATAACATTTTTGTGAAAAACAACAAGCTAGATATGAAATTATCATTTTGATATGTGTGGTCGTATTGTAATTGTAGTTAATAATATATCTTAAAAAGGAAAAAAATTCACATGTTTAAATTGAGTTGCATATAGAACACAAGGGTAAAATGGTCATTTGTCTCATTCAACACAGTCAGATGCGTAATCAAACAGCATGGTGTCAGTCAGATGTAGATTTAGTCAGACTTCAGTCAGGCCTCTAACTCAGTTAGATCTGACTCAATCAACAACTATCAAACAACCCCTTACTTTCTTAAATTATAAAGTTCAAGCGAAGAGTCTTATCCACTTGAATCAAAGTAGGCAACATGAATCAAAGTAGGAAACAAGAGTGACCTGTAACATGGTTTTGAGGATAAGAGCATGATCACAAAGAGTCTTGTTGGTGACTTTGAGTGTATGTGTGTGTGTGTGTGTCAAAAACATCTTTAGTTGATGCACATATCAAAATGACCAAAAAAGATTATATAGCAAGGTTACTCATGAAACAATCTATAAAAAAAACTGAACACATATTCCAAGAGAGCTTTTTGACAAGTCCTAGTGTTAAATTTGACTTTGACACTTGATGGCTTATGAACTAACTTGCAAGAAAATAAGTTTTTTATTCTAGAACATTATATCTCGCATACTGTATTTTAGGCCTAAAAAGACCAACCAGAAACCTACTTTTGTTTAATTCTCAATAGATGCAATGTACTTTTTATGCATAATATTAGCATATCAGCATCTCTTTATTTATTGTTTTACAAGTTCCAGTATGTTAATTATGATATCAATAGTTAATTCATTCAATAACTTGAATAAACCCAAATGTTACAATCATGTCATTCGGTTATATTATAACTCTCATTACTTATGAAATAATCTTATGTTTTAGTTAACTCATTCATTATCGATAATGAAAGTAAGTATATATAGTTTACATGTCACTGTCCTTTCATCTTAATGATATAAAACACATCATGCAGCCAGTCAAGAACTATATACTTAGTGGATTAATTCCGTTGTACATTAACAAGTAAGAAATCCCATTACAACCAACTAATGAAAAGCATGATGCAGTTCATCAAGTCACTACAATTACGACTTAATTATCAGTCATTTAATACCCAGGACTCTATACAGGGGCTCTATATGTCTATTTATCAAGCATTTGGACCCCAAACACTATACACATCCCCCTGCCTCAACTTGTACGTTAAAAGATGCATTATCAATATGCAATAACACATTATACAATATTCTCAACTTCATTAATTAATATTATCTACTTTACTTTAATCACCATTACCTATTTTAACCAGAAATTCCCAGAATTATCAAAATTACGTCACCACACACAATCTCAACTCAACTTTCTTTTAAGTTAGTTATATGCCTTCATTTAGCTTACATTCCGTAGAATAATTATCTTAAAACCTAACACAGCTTCAACTAATTTTACATATATAATTAACATACCTTGACTAATGCGGCTCTGTGTTAAACTCAGACTGGTTAGTGGTTACCCCTTCAATATTAGAAGTCATACACATTTATGATCTTTAATTCATTGATTTCCTTCATGAGTTCTCCTTCTTTCTTCCTCTTCTTCTTCTTACAGCCGAGAAATTGAGGCAAATTGCGGTTGTTTGCGTTGCTATTTTCGGAACTGTTATATGGCAACACAATAACTTTTTACACCGTGAACCACTATAAACAGCTATATCACCGCTACAGCACCGTTGTTCACTGCCTATAGCTTCTCCTTTAGCTAATTAGATCTATTTTCACAGTTTCGTCTTATATCTGATATTTGACGGGAAATTAATGATCGCATTTCTTTTTCTTTATTTATAATACTGTATTACATAAATGGTTGCTGTAGTTTACAGAAAGTCACATGTTCACTCATAAATTTTGTTTCTTGAGTGAAATGGTCATTTTAGTTTTAATTTTTTTGAGCACATATAAAATGTCTATTTTACCATTTTTAACATATTTTATTTTTCTTATATTATTTCTAATTTATATACATACTAAATCAAAGGGGTCCCATCAAAGACGAGATTGATCATAATGGGGAAGACAAAGACGAGATTAACCAAAGATTGCAACTTTCGTCTGAAATTTGAGATTAACTTGTCACACCCCGACCGGCGGTGGAAACGTCTGGCGGTGTGAACGTGTGGAAATTGGATCGAGGCATACAGTTATATATAAAACATAACATAAAAGTATATTACAAACCATAATTTTGTTTATTATAAATTATTTTGGGATTAGATTGTTTATAGTCAAGCACACAACTTAAATATTACTAGAAACGATAAACGGAGGGAACTAAACTCCAGCAAGCTTCCTCGAAGACCTCCTCCTTCTCGGCACAACTATTTTCCACACCCATCTCCCTAAAAGTACATGTATTTTTTAAAATGTCAACATAATGTTAGTGAGTGCACAGGTTTTTGTAGATTTTGGCTTTTATTTGGTTGTATTAATTTAAGAATTCTTTTTCTTTTAGAAAAACTTTACCTAAAGTATTTTATTAACCTTAGTTGACTATCTTTTTCGCATATCTAACGATCCTTTCTAGTGATATTTTAGGATATTTTATTAATCCTAATTTTCTATCTTTGTAGGATATTTAACTAATCCTAACGTATTTTATCTATCACTCTAAGGTGTCCCTAATGGTAGCCGGATCTCTAAGGTGTTTGTAATGTATTACCATGAGCCCCCATAATCGATGTTGTTTGACTAATAATTGCCCCGCCATGAAGCTTCACCAGACGTGGAATGGTGATTAATAAGAAAGTTACCCTTTCGGGATTGTAACTAGCAATCGCAGATGGGGTTGTCAATCCCTGTATAGATCTATACATATCTTCCTAGCTCTCGCAAAATTAACGATTACAGAAACCGGGGAAGCCGAATTTAATCAAGGATATTGGATTAATATTAACAACTCACTGACCATTAACCTTAGGTATTTATCTTTTATAGTTTATCTTTCCTATAACTATCACAATATAAACCCCTTTAGTTTTATATTTGGTAATTATATCTTTTAGATCTCATAATTATTTTGTATGTATATATGAATATATCTTATTTTCCGATATATATATATATATATATATATATATATATCTTATTTTCCGATATATATATATATATATATATATATATATATATACACACACACACACACACCCTAGTTATGGTTATTTAAAAACAAGATGTTTGGGCAGAGTAACAAGTAGAGACGATGCATATCCCTATATTTGACCAACATAACTTCTAGGTACTGTCACACCCCCAAACCGGAACGGCGGAAACGTCCGAGGGCGGATGACTTCATGCACAATATTATAACAATTGAATATAATTGAAACATGGTAGCACAAACATTCATACATTGAGATTACAGGTTTACATTGTTTACAAACTTGCTTGTTGAAAAGTTGAATATAAATAACTGAAAAGTAGAAAACATGATATAGCGACGCCGACCCTCTAAATATGTGAGATACCTGTCTACTGATTTCCTAAGAATACAAGTGATTTGGAAAAAGTGTCAACAATTAAGTTGGTGAGTTGATAAGCATTTTGTATGAAAAGGACTTGAAATTGATTCGAGTAAAATGAATATGTATACTTCTATAAAATCCAATATTTTCTATATGAACATGTATTGTAGTCGTAAAGCTCTAAAATCAAAAGTGTAAGTAATACAATACTGAAAATAGTATGTAGCTTTGTTCACGTATAAAACCATTTGAATGCATGTTTCACATAAATAAATTGTATGGCACTGGAATAACTGTACAAAGTAGTTTTAATTTAATAAAGCTATTGCAAATATGTGATGATGTGATCCCGTAAATCGAATAATTTGTAGATACTCTATGTGAGTTATCATAACCATGCTAATGCGACTAGTTGCCTGAACAACGCGCTTCGGACGTCGGTAACTGGTATGGTATTTGTCACCCTAGACCTACCGGTTTAACTGTAGCTAACAATTTAGGTTCCGGGTTGTCAAGCTCCGTATAGATCTATACACAAGTGTCATGCTCCCCCTACAAGAGATTCTTGTTATAATGCAGGTCTTAGTATGTGTACTCTGGTGGGTACGGTGAAGCATAACTTCTCATAACCAATATCAATCGATTTTTGTGAACTGAAAACTCCTTATTCTTATGTATGTAATAATTATATCTTTAGATAGTTATTAGTCTCTTCTGAAATGAAAGTGTAGTTTTGTGACTCCAAACTATACCGATTATAGTTTATCAAGTTGTTTGTCTAGAACATTTATATAATCATTTATATAAACACATAGGACATTATTTTGTTTAGTTTCAAAATAAATTCAATTTCATAAGTTTTGGGTGGTAACCCACAAAGTAGTGAAATAACTAGAAAGTACGCCTTTCTACTAAAAGGCTATATTTTGGTAAAAAGGCTTCAAGGAATCATGTAGTTTTA